GCCTGGCCACAATTTAGGTTTGATATCAGACGGTGCTGTCTCAATGGCTTTCGTTTCAAGCCATTCCATGTAAAGATTGGCAACGATAGGCGAGACCGGGCTACCCATGGCTGCTCCGAAATTCTGGTTGTATATTTGGTTTCTGAATTTGAAGTATGTGGTCGTAAGGACGAACGTGAGAAATTCGATGATATCGTCTGTGGTGAGGTTGGTTCGCTTCTTCAATGTTTTGTCTGCCTCCAGTCTCGACTTGATTATGTTAATCGATTTTGGGATCAGAGTGTTGGTAAAGAGTGAGACAACGTCATTGGAGACTAATATCTCGTCTGGTTTCATACGTATAGTTTTTAGTTGCTCTGCTAGCTCTGTTGAGTTCTTGATGTGATGTTTGGTGGTGCCTACCAAAGGGGCCAGTAGATCGGCTAAGCTTTTTGACAAATTGTATGCTATGGAGCCTGTGTAATCGACTATAGGTCTATACGGGTTGCCTTCTTTATGTATTTTAGGTGTGCAGTAGATTGTTGGTACATTTTCAGCCGTGTGATACAGGAACTTGTACTGAGCTTCAGTAATTTTGTCTTCTCTTTTCGGACGTTGGAGAATCGCCACTAGTTTGCTTTTATATTTCGTTGTAGGGTCTTTCTTTAATTTCCCATAGTTCTTTACATCACTCAACATAGTATTTACTTGTTTTTCGTAGTCGTCCTTGCCCACCACAAGGATACAGGCTTAGTCACGTGTGGACTAAGCTATTGACCACCACACCATCTGGTGGTCAAAACTGATTAACATCCGTTTGCTTTGAGAAAGCCTCCTGGCAGGAGGCGAAACGTCAGCGGTTCGTTTCAAACTTTCACGGTTGAGTAAAAATTTACCCTGTTATTTATATTTTAGTCTACCAACCGAATGAACTTAATTAATGGGTATACGTGTATGGTTTCGTTAACTATATATCAAATCAGTTATCATAGATCTAGAATATCTAGATAAATGTTATACTGAATGTTTATTATTAAACAAAACTGTACATACAAAAATCTGGAATTACTGTTTATTTGATATTAAAATGCGACTTCGTCAGCCAACAATGCAGACACTTCACAAATTAATCAACTTTACAGAACGTTCATAATCAATATACCGATCGAGCCGCCCACGCATACACGCACACACACACACACACACACACACACACACACACACACACACACACACACACACACATACGCGCACATACACGCACATATATACGCTTATATATACGCACACATTTCCACATACACGGGTGCGTCCACGCACGCACGCGCACACACGCACGCACACACAAACGTTCGCACAAACGTTCGCACAAACACACACACACACACACACACACACACACACACACACACACACACACACACACACGAAGGCACACACGCACATATTGCACATGAACACACACGAATGCACACACGCACGCACGCACACACAAACGTTCGCACAAACGTTCGCACAAAGACACACACACACACACACACACACACACACACACGAAGGCACACACGCACATATTGCACATGAACACACACGAATGCACACACGCACGCACGCACACACAAACGTTCGCACAAACGTTCGCACAAAGACACACACACACACACACACACACACACACACACGCACACACACACGCACATATTGCTTCCATTGCTAATAAAATGGCTCAATTGAATTATAATCGGATACACAGATTCGATTATTACGCCGCGGTTGCAGCTTCTGCTGCCTATTCAATTACCTGTTAATATTCTTCTTCTTCTGATAGTTACAGTATGCAGTTATAAATCCTAATAGTTCTATCAGGCGCGTACCGTTGGTTTTACCGTTATTGCTGTCTGTTGGAGTGACGTAACAAGCTAAACTGAGGCATTGCGCAGTTGAGTCGGTGCTAAGACTAGCCCTGTTGAATCCGGTTGTGTCTGTACGCTGCGATTTATCGCCGCGCCTGGGCCGGGTTGTGCCCGGACTAGTTTTGGACTAAGATCAAATGTTGCAGTCTGTACGGGGTATGTATTTGTTCCAAGGCTTCGGGTTATAAGCTCACTAGCTTTCATACAATATCTTACAAACTGTCTACGCCATGTTGGGCCTTTGTATGTACAGCGTACGCTGACTTTACACTGTATTCTAAGAATG